AAGCCTGTGATAGCTTGATATTAGTAAAAGCCTGTGTTAGTTTGATATCGGTGGAAACCTGCAGTAAACTGATATTTGATATCACCAGGTTGCGTGATTTGATGATATAAGCAAAACACATATACTACTTGCAACAACTATCACGAACTTCAAGATTATTATTTGAGATATTTTATCTCATCCCTTGACAGCTTGTCAGAGTAATTTTTTTTTTTGGTAAGGTTTGTCAGAGTAATTTAATTGCACAAATATCCAATAAATTCTTTCCCTATTCTAGCAACATTCATTTCTTCATCATTTTCACCGTCATGATCTATTTATTGTCGACACCTCTAATGTTGCAAACTCCATTTTCAATATGAACCTTGTGGCCTCTTTCGAAAAGTTGCCAAACACTTGGCAAATTCCAAAAAAGTGCTGGCACAAAGTGAGTATCTGCAATAGTAACATTAGTATCATCTTGACATTGATTTTACCTTTGCCCATCACGAGAATTTTTTATTTATTCCCAAATTTGACTTTAGCAACTTGTTTTGTCCAACTGTAAGAATAACTCTTGTAACGTCCTCACCTCGGGGTTATTAATGTGACGTCCTATTCGTTATTATCTTCTCGTTATGAGCAAGCGGATGCATAAACTCGGGACAATCACAATCAGAACAAACAACAAGGTTATGACAAGCATCATAAGCAAATCTTGTATTTACATGATAGCATACATGTTTTACAAGCCAAACTTTTACATGCCCCTTTTTATTTTACGGGCTTTTTCCCTTTTCAACGCACTACACGTATCCATGTAGGCCGGGAGAAATTCCTATCTCCTCTAGCGTGACTACAGCTCCCAAAACTAATGTGGGACATCCATGCCTACAAATCTAAAAAAACAATGGAGTGAGTCGAGGATTCAGTAAGTAAAACTCACTAAACTCCAGATAGGAAGACGCCTCCCCATCGAACAAGCATATGTCATAACCACATCAATTGATAGCAGATCAATAATAAAGATGCTTCAAACACACTTGTTATTGTGCATAAGATGATCTCAACATGCCTTTCCATTCAAGCAACAACATCTCAACCAAAAGCATGCACACGAGAGATTCATTATCTCAATTGTTGGTACGGTTCTTTCGGAAATTCTCAAGCAACGTCCTCTAATCAAATGCGACGGTTATTTCCTTCCTCGTATGACTATGCCAACAAGCATCATGCCACCATGAGTACTTCACGCGAGGTATGTGTCATACCATGTAGCCTCTAAAATCTTACGTCATGCTAGGCATGGAACCAAGTTCGTGGATCGAACCGATCGGTCATGGCGCCAACCTACACCAAGAAAGGCTTGGATCGGTACACTTCGATACCCATCTTCCAAGCAAGGCTCTTTCCGATACGCCTCGACGCCGATCCGAACCAAGCGAGACTCGTTTACGGCCCGAACGTGCTTTCACGCATCATACTAAATACATGAGCAAACCTTACAAAATGTATAACCATGCGTGGCAAGCTATCTCAAGCGTTCACAATCAACGGAATCCACATAAGCACAACAAGAACATGACTTGCCCAACAATGTAACACAACACCCTAGCCAAGGTTTAGTAAGTCTACGTACTACCCTCCAAGATCGTGGCCGAGTGTAGCCTAAGGGTGAGCCGAGCAGCAAGAGGCGCAGCAAGGACACGGCGAGGCACGGGCATGGACGCGGCAAGGGCATGGCCGAGATAGAGAGGGCGGCCAAGAGAGAGTGTGGACGTGAGGGAGAGAGAGAGAGAGAGAGAGAGAGAGAGAGAGAGAGAGAGAGAGAGAGAGAGAGAGAGAGAGAGTAGTGATGGTGGAATGGTGAGCTAATGGGTTGAAATGCAAGAGGGGGCTCATCTATTTATAGGCCTTAATCTCATCATTACTTTTCCATTTGGACTAATAAAATTCCTTGAAGTGACAAGCCTATTTTGGTGAGTTGGCTAGCCTAGCAAGAAGAGGTGGCAAGCCTAAATAGATAGTGTGGCAAACCTACGCATTAGGTGCACACTTGCTTTCTTCTCATTGGGCCATCTAAGATGTGAATCATCCTAACATTAATGAAGTGTAATGATGCATTGGACAACTAAGCTAGGTGACTTACCATCATTCATTTAATGTTCAGATTTGGTGTAATCATGGACTTTTGATTTGATCTTATCCAATACTTGCTCACCAAGACAAGCTCATCTCTCTAAAATCTTCTATTTTGTCTATTTTTCAAGGAATAAGGCTATCATGAGAATTGGGCCAAAGGAAGTGCTAACTTGGTCGGGTATGAGTTCCTCGTGTCCATCCACGATCGACCATGCCTACTAAATCGAGATTCGTAGCCGAGTCACCATTGGAAGTGGCAGGTCTTGGCTAAACTTATGTTGGATGACTAGGTCGGTGGTCCATGTCGTCGGCATAATGGCCGGCACTGACCGAGCGCGTGGCCTGGCAAACCAGGTGCACAGCTCATGCAGACTAGGCACATGACCCATGCGGACTAGGCACATGGCCCATGCGCAACCTGGCGTGCGGCCCATCCGCAGCATCCATCGGACGAGCACATGACCGACGCTTGGGCTGGCCTTTGGCCTTATGGGAGGGACCAAGTTAGGCACATGACCGGCTCATGACCCAGCACATGGCCTGCACACGACTTAAGGACATGACCCATTCGGCAAGGACGTTGAACCAATCCGCGATCGATCCATGACCGATTCGTGACCCGTGCAAGTGTCCCATGGCCAAGCATACTTGGTTCGTGGACAACCCTCGGTTGTCATGTAGTTGTGTGGGACCGATTGTTTCGTGACAATACATGGTCGCACGGATCGATCCATGATTGTCCGTGATCGGTACATGATCGTGCGAAATCACCCGCGATCGGAATAAGACCGTGTAGAATTGATCCATGATCGTCCACTGATCCGTGGTGGTACAAGACTGTCCTGCGACCAACTCTTATGGTCAAGAAGTCGATCTATGGCCGAATTAACTCGGGTTACTTGTATGGTCATTGAATTGATTCACTGCCGATCCCTTGATCATTCCTAGCCGATCTTTCGATCAAGCCATGATTGATCCCTTAGTTACCCTTCCGATCAGGTTGATCGGTCCATGACCTATCCTTGACTTGGTCCATGGCCGATTTCTCCCACAATCTGCACGCCATTTCTTTAGCCATTTCGAATATCCAAAATCGTGGATGTCACAACTTCTTCTGGCCGAACATATTATTTCTGTAATCATTATCCAAGTACCATATGTTAGTGCCTACAGTACTCGAGTCATCCTTCTTACATGCTAGGACCATGTATTCTTTAGCATCGGTGGCATGTGTGTATTCCACCAGCTCATATGTTGCCTTTGTCTAGCATTCTAATTTGTAATGTCCGAATTTATTGCATTTAAAACAACTTGACTTTTGATTTGTCGTGTGTTTTATATTTTTCAAGTGAAATTTCACTTTCCACCTGTACCTTGGCCTACTCTGCGATCTCGACCGCCTTGATAGCTTCCTCAACTTATGGAGCGACCCGACATTGCGATGCTTGCTCAGGATTTGAACCAAAGTACTTTCAATTCCTTCTTTGCTCATGTGAGTGCAATGAACTAATCAACCGCTCCAACATTAGGGTTGACACATATCGCCCTTCCTCAATCACTGGGACAATATAGTCAAATCATTTTGTCAAAGACCTCAAGATTTTTTCTAAGACTTGTACATCTTAGAGTTCTTCACTATTAATCCTCAATTGGTTAACAATGGTTTGCATATGATCAAAATATGCCGAGACTGATTTAGAGTTATTCATGCGTAAAGACTCATAATCACCTCAAATGCTTGAAGCTACACCCATTGGACACGATCATTGCCTTTGTAAGATTTTTGCAAAATATCCCATGCTGCATTCATAGTCTCCGTACTCATTGTTTCAAATATCGTTTCCTCCACGGCTTGAAATATTGCATACAAAGCTTTCTGAACATTCTTTCGGACCACTCAGCAAAGAATCTTTCTCCTCCTTTCTTAAGGCCTTAAATGCTTCGGCATTATCACTTCGATGTAGCCGTTTCCCACCAGATCCACAAAGCTAGTGATTTGAAGAGAACCTTCATCTGGACGGTATAGTTGTTGAAATTATTTCCGTTCAACTTTGGAAGTTACAATTGAATGGAACTGGTGGATGTCATTTCTAGCTATGATGACAAATGTTTGAACCAAAAAGAATAATGACAACTTTCAAAATTTGGAACACTGACAAATAAAGATTGGAGGGGGAACTTAATGAAATTCAAATGCTTTCTGCTTAGCTGTAACTACAAGCATGAAGTTCACTACCTTTTATAGTGGTTGGACTTGTACATAACTTGACAAACATTGAATGAAAAAAAAAACAACAAATGCACATCATAAATGCACACAAACAAAGAAAAATAAAAGACATACAATGAATGCATTTGAAGACAGACGTGGAGAACTCTTCAATGAGCTTTGTTAGCCTTCTTTGTCTTCGTGCTGCAGAAGCTTTTCTTCATTAAATGCTTGTAGCTTTTTTGTCTTCAGTCTTCTTCAAGCGTCTACCATGAATCGTGCTTCACCAATTCGTTTTCATTCTTCTTCTCACACTTGTTGAAACCTATATTTTGACTACCTATTTAGTGATAAATTACATAGAAAATTAGGGGTTAAATTTTAGATCCCTAACCAAAAATAGTATAGTTAAATTGCATAGCATATAGACATTAGAAACATTTGCATTAATAATGATAAAATTTATTAAAATATATTATAATTTAAAAAAAGAACTATTGAAATTTTCTTTTTAAAAAAGTGAGTGGGGCTGGGTTCTTTCCTCTCTGCCTGGGCCAACCCTTTCTTTTTCTTTCCTTTTTCTCTATGACCCGACCATTTTTGCCCTTTCCTTCGTTCTTCCCAACCCAGCACCACACGTTTTCCTCTCTCGTCTTTGTACCTTTAGATGTACAAGACAAAGGTGTTTGGGCATTTTTCACTAATGATCTCAGGGGAATACCAAGACTCTTATGATCAAGGTCTCTGTGAGACATATCATGAAGAAGGATTTCAACTCACATCACCGTTCACCGAGGGTAAATTTCGGTGACCGACATCTCATTGTTCGACAATGGTATAGACCTGCTGGTGGATTGGTCTGATTCAAGCTCTTTCATCCGTCTCTCCGTCCTACTCCGGAGGAAGAAGGCCGGTTGTTGGGGCAGTGCAAGAGTAACAGAGTAGCTATTCAACATAAGGACTATGTTCGCCATTGTGGGTCTATCCCTTGGATCTTCTTGAACACATAGCAAACCAATGTGGAGGCATCTTAGAACTTCATTCTTTGAATATGAATCTCCAACGGCTGTATCTAACACTTCCAGTGGCGTACTATCTCTCCAATTTTTCCATGCCTAAAAAACGGTTCATTTGAAGAAAAAATTTCAGAATGTGGTGCATGCTTTGTTTAACAATATTCTTATTAGTTATAGTCAATTTGTGCAACTTACATAGCTAGCGAGCACTTCGCCCCCCTCTGCTTGGTAGAAGAAACTATTCTTTTTACCACTAATGAGCTCAAGAAGTAGGACACCGAAACTATAGACATCAGACTTCACGGAGAACTGACCATGCATTCCATACTCGGGTGACATGTAACCACTGCAAACCGTAATACATCATATATACAAGTACACATAAGCATAAAAAGTGAAGAACAAGGCATCACAATACTTACAAAGTCCCCGCAATTTTTTTGGTGTTTGCCTTTGTTTGATCGACTCCGAAAATCCTTGCCATGCCGAAATCTGAAATCTTAGGGTTCATTTCATTGTCCAACAAGATATTGCTCGCTTTTAGATCACGATGAATGATCCGAAATCGAGATTCCTCATGTAAATATAGCATTCCTCGAGCGATTCCATATATTATTTTGTAACGTCTTGACCAATCCAATTGTCGGCTCTTTCCAGGATCTGCATGTATGCACAATTCAGATGTGGGTATCTTCGCTTAATAAATCCTCTTGAATAGATTTTATGCAAACCAACTTTAGGTTCCAAAAGCTAGGGAAACATTCTATACAATTATGGGCTAATCATGTACTCCCTCAACAGTGAAAGCAACAGCTTTGGAATATATTGAAACATCACGTACCAAATAAAATGTAGTCGAGACTTTTGTTCGGCACAAACTCATAGACAAGCAGTTTTTCTTTAGCCTCCAAGCAGAACCCGAGCAGCCGCACAAGGTTGCGATGTTGAAGCTTTGCTACTAGTATGACTTCGTTCTTAAATTCTTCAACACCCTGTCTCGAGCCTTGAGATAGTCTCTTCACGGCTATTTGTTCTCCATTAGGAAACCTACCCTGGAAGGTCAGCATTTTGATGCACACATGAATAGCTCCTAATGACAACTTTTCAAAATTAACAAATCAAAGATCTTCAAATCTTTTCACACTAAAGATCTTTCAAGTATATTTAAGGCATTCTTAATCTAGTTTCTGACTAACCATACCTGGAAAACTTCACCGAATCCACCCTCGCCCAACTTGTTTTGATGTGAGAAATTGTCTGTGGCGGCTTGTATGGTGGCAAAATCATATTGCAAGGACTCGGCGTTTGTAATGTCAATTATGCCTACACAATTAAACAACACGAGATGGCCATTTCACTAAAAAGCATAGAACAGTACACCCTGTGTGTACGGTTTCATCATCCTATCCAAGTATATGGCACAGGTACATATTTCATACCGCTTTGATATCCTTGGACGTCTTCGTATGTCTTGGTCGCTTTCCTCCGCCTGATAAAACAAGCGAGGAAGAGAAGCACCACGCCTACGCCAACAGGAACAGCAACGGTGACGATTATCACAGTAGTTTTATTGCCTTTGCCTACATATGTGCAACCATATGTCAATAACATCAGTAGGTGCTTGTGACTGTATCAGATTAGAATCTGGAATTGCTACTATTAGCCAAGAGACAAACAAAATGAGAACGCTTAAAGAGTAAATGTCCAAAAGAAATTAAGCTGTAATCCATAACTGTCCATTCTTTTCTTTATTCTCAAGTGGGAATTATCACTAATTCAATCCTAAATATATTGTGCATATGTCAAATTAGTCATTAACTTCCCAATTTTGACAACGTAGTCTCAAACCTTTTCACAAAATTCTAATATAGTTTTTCCAACCAATTACTGCCGGAAATCACTGACATGACGATTCACGTAATACATCGTTTTAGAGTACAGTTGTCCAAGTTAGCGTGCCATGTAGGATGCCCAACAAGGATTGGTCGTCATGTTAGCAATTGGCAAGAAGGACTACATTAGCAAAATTGGAATATCTAGATCTGAATTGGCATTCATATAATAAATTTGGTACTAATTCGGCAATTATCCTTCCCATGTGAGTGCAGGGGATCAACCATTAATTGATTAAAAGCAACATTTAACCAATTGTTATGTAAAGTCTAATCTCATGAGCGGATGTAGACCACCATGTTTTTTTTTTTTTGGGATAGAACCCACCATGTTCAACTGGTATGAGATTGAGATAGATAATTGCCCGTGATCCACCTAGGAAATATTTCTCACCTAAAATGTACTACATCTTTACCACAACCACTCAATAGCTTCTTTAACAAATATTTACAACAAAAACACCTAACTCATCACTCAAAGTGAAAAAAAGGACGGGACCCCACTAAGACCAGAAAATGTGCGAGCCACAAAAAATTTACAACAGACAAATAAGTCAAAAGTAGAATTTATTCCAAAAGGAAGAATGAATTCTAAGTAAAATGCAGAAAACAGGGAAACCAATATGAGAAATTTACATCACCAATCAAATTAAGAGGACAGCGAAGGAGAATGAGACTCAGAAAAGCCCCTATGATACATCCCAAAACTTGATTTATCGCAGATATGTATGAATACTTGACAGCACTTCACATTTTATTTTTGTTAAAAAACTTGAATGTGAGACTTTAAACTATTAAGTAGAATAACCAGTTTACCAAAAAATTAAATAGATCACATACTTCTTGTATAGGAGGAAGACAAATAATAAAATTAAACACTTACCTTCACGTTTGGTCCCGGGAACCGGAGGAGGCGGAAGCTGGGACAGTGGAGGCGCCGGGGACACCACGGCCGAGGCATTATAAAACGGGTACAGCTCGAACCTGACGCCGCAGTTCATAGTGAACCTACTCCCACCTTGCTTCTTCTGGGGAAGGCCCGAGATCAGCGTCCGAAGGCACGTGTCGCAGCCCAATACCCCCAAGTCCGGCGTGCACTGCGCGAGGGTGTACAGCGTCTGCAAGCTCGTGAAATTCACCTCCTTAACCGCGAATTTCTTCCCTGACCCGCTGTTGGAAGCCCTTGTGGCGATGTCATCCACGGTCTGTCCCAGGACTTGCGAGAACCGGGTCGGATCAGTGATGTTCGTAGTGTTTTCCATTGTGCGAGTAGGCACCTGTTCCAAGGCCGAGAAGAAGGACCGGTTGGCGTACCTTAACATGCACTCGTCGTACCAGATCGTGGAGACTCGCTGGTTCCCGCATCTTCGGAGGATATCATGTTTTCCAGTGGCCACGCAGTTGCTGCACGTGGAGGTGCTGACGTCGCCGCGGCAGAGAAAGAGCCCATAGGCCCAGTCGGGTTGGTTCTGGCCGACGGTGGCAGTGGCAAAGCCGTTGGTGCTGTTGGTGGCGTTGGATGAGAGGGAAGAGAGGAGGGTGTTGAGGTTGGACTCGTAGGTGGAGTTGCCAGTGAAGTTATAGATGCGTGGGCAAAAATGATATAGATAAGTGGGGGCAGCTTGAGTACTGAAATTCTGGACGAAGACGAAGAAGAAGAAAGAGGAGAAGGAGAGGGAGAGGGAGATGGTGAAGCAAGGATTCATGATTTGCTGGGTTGATGAATTGATTGGGCTTGCGCCACTAGAACGGGCAGAAGATTGTAGGAAGAAGAAGAGCATGCGGAGAATCAATTTTGATGAACATCAATTCTTAGGATACGTAATTGCAGCGTGAACAGTACCAGGTCCAGAAAACTTTCATTCTCATGCGTTAGGATCAGGCGCAATGAAATAGAGGAAATGAGAGAAAAAAATCAATACACGAGATTTATCCTGGTACAGCACTTAAACTAGAGCAACATCCAACAAAAGATTCTATTATAATTAATACCTCTCACCTTTTTATTACAACTCTCAATTACATGAGAAAGAGATTATATATACTCAGTAGTAATTCATGGACTAAAGCCCAAACTACCAATAAAATATAGGCCTAAACTATAAAAGCCCTCTGGCATCATGGGGGCGTTGCTCCCTGCTACCCCTTCCGAGGTGATGCCCCGGATCCCTGCTAGCTCACCGTGGAACGGGACTCCCATGCCTACCTATTGATAGGGAGTATGAACCACACCCAACATCGTTCTCTTAAATTAAAACAAGGGGCATAATTGCAAATCAAAATTTGAGGATATGAGTTTTGAACATTATAAATTTGAAATATTATTCCTCACGACATATTTAGGAATTCTAGAACATTTAAATTGATATCTAAAATCATGAAGTGCTGTTATATAATATAGTTTTTTGCTAGGTAAAGGGGGATTTTTGACTAGTCAAACCGGCGTGAGATTTTCCTTAACATTAAATTATGACCCCCCCCCCAACCACTCCCAAAAAAAAACCAAACATTAAATTCCATTCAGTGATGTTAGGTACTTGGGCAGCGGAACGAATGGACGGTGAGGAGCTGAGGGTGGAAGACAGCATTTGCCCTCGTACGAGGCCGTTGACCAAGGTCAATTCCGTGACTTGCGTTCTAATTAGAAAATTGATCCGCACAATTTGATGCGACCGCGAAAGGAAGAATCCAACCCCTCCCAAACGTTTCATTTGAGTTACGCTTATTTATTTGGGAGAGAATATGCAATTGACCGTGCAACACTCTATCCCAGTTTATTCGAGATGTTGCCCTAATTAATCTATCGTATGCTAACTCTCTCTACAAGGCTACTAGACTTAATTGTGCTTTCAATTAAGCACGTTTAATTTTTAGTTTTCTCACAAAAGAAAAATATTGTAGTTTCCAACACTAAATTGTATCATTTCCTCAAAAGGTACATCTTTCAGATTAGATTTGAATCCTCATACATTATCCAGAGATACTATCACTTCCTCGGTGGGCAAGTTCATTTATTCCTACCTCCATTGCCATTCTAAAAGTCTAGCGAAGAAGTTATTATACATACAATTCAATTCGCAAGGGGTGAGCCCACAAGAGAGCTATCGGATCTGACGGTTCATGTATATATACACTAAATTTTATGAATGGTTTTGTTTACATGAGTGTTGACATTGATGCTCACTTGACTTGCGCCATGGATTGAATTGGACGCAATTCTAGTAACGTTGCCGTGGGTTCCCGAAAGCTGAATGATGTTGAGTGAGTTTGGACTGTTTCGTCCTCTACTCAAGCGGAGACTTGGAAAGATAAGTCAAGGAGGAGCATGTGGACGTAACTGAAGGTTAGAGAGAGAGAGAGAGAGAGAGAGAGAGAGAGAGAGAGAGAGAGAGAGAGAGAGAGAGAGAGAGAGAGAGAGAGAGAGAGAGAGAGAGAGAGGGATGGAAGACATTCATGCTACTTTCGAACATAATGGTCAATTTACATAAGTTTTCATCAATGTAAATACGGATGCTCAAAGAAAATGAATTCTCTACATTGAGTTCCATGTCATTAGAAATTACTACATTAAATTATGGGATAAGTGCACTGAAAATCTTAAAATTTATCACGAAAATGCAACTAAGTCCTAAAACTTATCACAAAAATGCAATAAAAAAGTGCAATCGAGTCATAAAACTTTCAAAAAGGGTAATTAAGTTGTAAAATTTGTCACAAAAATGCAATTAAATTCTAAAAATTTCAAAAAGTGTAATCAGCGGAAAGATTTGATGATGTAGGCTAACGATATCACCTAAAGGGGGTGAATATGTAATTTAACAATTCTTGACAAACTTAAAGCGGAAGTAAAGAGGTCAAGATAAGTATTGCCAAATCTGACTGAAATAAGAATATGAACAATAATAGTGATATGATGAAATTCATTATAGCTCAAAAGTCAGAGTCTGAATAGAGATCAGATACAATATATCAATGTGCAAAGTAATCAAGAAGAGTTAGGGGATAATAGAATTTGCACACAAAATTTATAGTGGTTTGGCTTATAGCAAGCCTATGTTCACTCTCTCACGGTGACAACATAATGGTTAGATTTCACTAGTAAATCAATAAGAGGCTATAAAATATTAGTGTTCACTTCTCAAGGGTATGTGATTGATCTTAGTATCTCACACTATCGCTCTTTACAATTCCTCTCAAAGATAACAATTTTAGCTCACAAAAGATAGGTACGAAGTTCTCTTGCTTTGGAGTTTCAAATTTTGATGTCGTCTATATTCTCCTCTGTACATTGATCTTCTTTTATATTTCTCCATTATCCAAACTACCGGTAGGACAATCTTCAGAGGATCGTCTCCCAATCTACCCGTTAGATAGTACTGTATCAAAAAGATTACGTAGTCATTGAGGAACTTAAATCTAAATCTCTGTTGATTCTGGTCGCCCATACAACCAAAATCACCATCTTCCATAAGTAGAGATCTTTAAATACGGAAGGTTTCTTGTCTTGTGATTGATGCCAATTAATCAAGATGTCCTGCATATTAAACCATTCCGAAACAACCTTTAAGGATAAGAGTCAATCAAATTTTCTTAAGAAGGAAATCCAAATCAGATTACTAACTGTTGTGGGTCTTGAATTTGTGTCTGAATAGGATCATAAGTAGCATCCAGAATATGAAGTATTTATTCAATGTAAAGTCTTAGCAGCTTTCTCATGTTGAAGAAACTCAGTTTGTAGTCTGAATACATTTGGAGATATCCATGCATAATTATTTCGATATCCATTTGTTGCTTGATGATGTTCAAACAATATCTTCAATAACATCCGCAAAGTAATAGTCCATTTAATATCCAGACAAACTTAGATTTGAGTCTGAACCAAGTCTCATAGAAAATCATTTGCTGTATCCCCAAAAACTTCAAGACACTTATCTAACTTAAAACCAACACATTGATAGTTTTGTCAACTTCAAAAATCATTAGGAGGTTTTCTCAACAATTTCTCCCTTTTTATGGTGATAAATTTAAAATGTGATCAAAATAGATAAATATGATAACATTAAAGCTCTGATAAGGAAGATAATTACTTCAGATTTTTGGATATGATGTCCATGCATTTGCAGTATAGGTATAACCTGCAGTATAATACTGTATTTCTTCAATATATTCCCTGTATAATATTCTCACCCTTTTTTTTTTGGTAAGTATAATATTCTCACCCTTTTTGTTAGCAAAAAAAAAGTAATAAACCATATTATATGACAAACATAACCAAATAAATTATCCAAAGAAAGTCAAAGTTTGAATAATTAAAAAAAAATTCAAAAACTTAATAACACATTAGAACTTAAAAGAAAATCATTTGGAGGGTGAAGGTCGGTTTGGATCAGGGGTTTGAACAGTGGTGTCAACAGATGACACGATGTTAAATGGTATGCACACAAGCTGAAAATATTCCAGTTTCTTCAGGTTGTCCTCCATTTTGGTCATGCATCGATCAAAAGCCTTGTCAATTGCTGTCAAATGTTGTTCTGCTTGATGATTGACATGCTGCATCTGATTTTTCGCCGTTGCTTACTCTATGTCTTTCTCCATTGCATTCTGTTTTCCCTTAATATTATTGAGTAGCTGAAATATGATGGCAAGGGTTTGATCATTTGGAGTGTCACCGACAGGGGCTTGAGTCTTTTGAGCCTGTAGAGTCTGAATGTCAGCAGGTCTGAAACTCTATTTTGTTTGAACCTCCCTCACAATATAAGCACCCTGAGGAAAATTTTCCATCGTCTTTTTAAAATCATCACATTTAGCAACTGAAGATTTGCTTTCCTGGGTAGCAGCCTGAGAGTTTGTTGGAGCAATTCCCATTCCACTGGTGTTGCCTCTTCCCTTTTATCCAAAAGCCCTGTTCATAGTTCATCAAGCATTTCATTCTCATACCTTCTCCGTTCTTCTTCTTGGTCAAGTTATTCTTAATAATCAACTTCCAAATTCTCATCTGTCGCGACCTCTCTAAACCAAACTCGCCACCTAGGGGGTTTGGCTAATGGATTCCTAAGTTAAACCTAGCTCGGGCTCTCCCAAGCCCATATCAATTCGCGACTTGGGTTTAAGTTGTTAACATACAAATTAAATTCGACTAGGAGTCGCCACTAATCCATTTTTTGGTGGGTCGATTAGACACCCAAGTAAAGCATGGGAGAAATGCTTTACTTCTACGAACTAGATATTTAATGGGTACGGAGACTTGATTACACTAATTGACCAACTCGTACCCTTTCGGTACCTAACCTTGTTCAATCACCACCTAACGTGTTCACACTAATTGGGAGTCTCAAAATTCCATCCCTAATCAGGCTAAGGGAAGTAACAATCAATATGGAAACCTAACATGCCTAATTAACCACACACAAGGTTAAATAAACACGCAATTTAAAACGTGTGAATCAAACAACGTGCAATCAAATGTGGCACTAATCACAGAAAAAAAGGGCAAGAAAAATCAATTCCAAAGCTCAAATACCATTTTTTATTTTCGATGTTTTTTAGAATTTTTAATTAAATTTTTTTAATATTATAATAATATAAAACAGACCCGGGTCGGATCTCCACATCCGACCCAGGTCAAAGCCGACCCTGGCGCGTTGGCCCGAGTCCACCGCGAGGTGAGCTCCACGAAAGCCCAATTCGGAACACCCTAAAACAATTAAATAAAAACACTTTGCCTAGCTCACTAGGAATAAAAACTTAAATAACACTTCAACCCAATTTACCCAATCGGCCC